TTCTGTCGGGACTGAATGTCTTATTTTATTTACTTATACATTTATTATTCATTTATTTATAACGTTTATTTCAAATTATATCCTACTGGGCATTTCACTCACGTTTTATATTTCAAATGTATTAAACCCCTCCCAGGAGATTCTAGGAGTGGTGCGCAGTAGCTGGATAAGTGCTACGGTGCAGCTGAGTTGTGCTGTTATTGGAATCAAGTGAGGATTGCGGACATCCTCTTGAATAAATGTAAGAGATTTGAGAATTCTGTAAACTTATGTAATATTTGGATTTACTAGACTGTGGTTGATGTCTGTTGTAATGATTATTTACATGAGCATGTATGTACGATACTGTATGTCCTGTGGGGTGGAGCCCTGTGTGTCAGAGGCTCCAGGATTCTGTAATGTAATTTATTCATATTTTAATGCAGTTAAGTGTGGGGCCCGGTTGGGAACCTACTTTACTAATCCCAAATTGAGCTCTACGTCACCCACCCTGTTTGGGGGGCGTGACACTTATACTCTATTTCAGTTTCAGCAGAAAAATGGTGGATGAAATGGAAAAACAAAGGTAAAGGGTCAACTGATTTACCGAGTTGGATCCAATCGATGAATGTGTTTGCTCTTCCAAAAAAAACCCTAACCGTGATGTCGATTCCCTACCGAAATTTCTCCATCGGCGATACCGACCACGAAAAAAGCTCAGATGAATACAACGGTGCAGAGGTTGGTGTCGCCGGTTGCGGCTACATCTACCCAAAAGAATGACCAACGGAGTCTGCCAAGAGCCTCTAATTCACATTATTTTCTCTGTTTTGGGCAAAGCAAGGATAGCAGAGGACAGGGATCCTTGCTCAAAAGAAGGTAAATATGTAGAACTCCAGCACGCGAGAGAGGGAAAGACTCTCGATTGAAGATATTTGTAGCGAATCTCTCCTGTGGATGATGGGAATCAAGAGCGTGGAGAGACCTGTCGGTGGAAATAGGATAGGAGGCAGAGCAACGGTAAGGAGGATAGGAAATCTGTGAGGAAAAAGCTGAGTTTGGCAGATGGCTTTTACTGTAGCCATTGGTTCGAGTTAATGAATTCAGAGGGTAGTTGAATTTCATTCTCGGGCATTTAACTCGAGTTTGAATTCGAGTTATAATCGCGGCCTTTTTTACCGAACGCGAACTTTAGTCACTTTTTCAACTCAAATTGGGCTGATTCAAGTTAAACCCACGAAGTGAACAAGCCCATAATTATTTTTGGTATTTTGAAATACTTGATTAACTTAAAAAAAAAAACATAATGCTATGATTTTGAGTTTTTTAACAATAAATTTATGATAATTAATTCTTTTTTTTCATTTCTTCATTCACAATATAGTTACAACTAAAATGAGCATTAGTGAGTAATCAATTTGTTGAACAAAAATGTACATTCCATGTTCAAAAACTAACAATCATTAAAAGAATTAAGTCGTGTTCATTAAACTGGTCGCAATTTGATCTCGTACTTCATCCATTTCTTGTGATAGTGAAACTTCATCTTCTTCTACATTATCCTCTGGTTGATGCTCTTCATAAACGAAAATATCTAGATTATCCTCGACTTCTTGAAAATGTCGATCACGCTTATCATGCATCCTAATATTGTTATGAAGCGTCATTGTTGCAATAATTATTTTTACTTGCTTCGTAAATGAATAATTTGGCATGTCTCTCAAAATTTTCCATTTTTTCTTCCAGACACCAAAAGTGCGTTCAATGACACTTCGAAGAGGAAAATGTGCTTGGTTGAATACCTCTTTACTGCATGTTGGTTGACGACCCATTCGAAATTGTGGTAAATAGTATCGTTCTCCTTTATAAGGTCCAAGAAATCCTTTCAATTGTGGATAGCCCGCGTCAACCAAATAATATTTACCTATTAAAATAAAAACCACAAGAATTAGTAAAATGTAAAACATATATAATATAAAATAGAGACAATGTTTTAACCTTCAGATGGTTTTAGAAATTTCAAATATCGGTTACGTAGTGCTGATAAGAATATTCTTGTATCATGGGCACTACCTTTCCAACCTGCATATGCATATATAAATTTCATACTGAAATCACAAGCAGCCATCACATTTTGGGTTGGCACACGCTTTCTTCCAATAAATGGCACCTGATCTTCTCGTGGTATTGTAGCTGAAACATGTACGCTATCTATTGTACCAATACAATTCTAAAAAGAAGAATTTTAGTGTATAAATAAACATAATTTTAGTAGGGAATGAAGCATATAAAAAGTATGATAAACGTTAAAAAACAGACAGAAAATGAGATGAATTAGTCTCTTCTGCCAAAAGCACATAACCTCTAACAGTCCTCACTTACTAATGAGCATTTACCAGTTACCAAGGTATCCCCGTATCATATAAGTTTTCCGATTTTGTCCATTAATATTCCCAGCAATCGGTACACTTCTCAATTGCCACCAACTTAAAAACATTTGAATATTACAGAATGTAAACCCTGACGCTGGCTTACACATCAGTGAGGATTCGGTCCCGTAAATTGGCTTTATTTGATAGAAGAATAGGCAGATATTACTAATGTGGGGCCAGAACTGTCAATGAGACTACCAGTGAACTCTCGGCTTGTTACCGCCGAATCCATTACTACTTCCTGAGACCAGACTCTTTGGTGTTCAGGTGAAGTCGCCAAAATGTAAAGTCAGTGACCGCTATATGGTGTTTCATATGCTTTGGTAACTCCATTGCTGACCAAATCACATTGGCATTTTCGTGGATTTGGTACGATGGGCAGGAAACATTATGAGAACTAAAAGATGACTGCTAATGAAATAATTCAACCAGATATCTCACGGGAGTCATTAAGATCATGTTGATAAAGTATGTCTAGTCTACAACATAATGAAACTACCAAACCAATGATACAAACTTTGTTACATCTTATTCTTTGTTATAATTCAAGACATTCAGGCATCATTGTCATTTGATGCTATCATGAATCATAATAAATGACTAGCTCTAACATACCAAATGCATTGCAAAATGCTCTGAACATTAGTTAGTTCACGAATCTTCTATATTTTTGGTCCATGAAGCTCAAGATAAAGGATATAAATTCATTGCAATAACCATTCCATTTTCCTTCAATGATAAATAGAACAACAACTAATCCTAGAGCCACCAATCTTTCAAACTAATACTAAAGAACAGAAACCATTGTTCAGCCGATTTCAACTATGAGCAACAGACACAATCTTCAAAACTAATACTACAAAACCAAACAATCGAATAGATCAAAACAAATAACATAAATCAAGATAGGGCAAACTTTGAAAACCCACTGTATAGAGCTTCTAACAAGCCTAGCTCAAGAACACTTGCGTCAATCCTTCACCAAATTTTCAAAAAAATTCTCCATTCTCCAAAACTGTCAACAACAAAAGTGTTATATAATAATAATAATAATAATAATAATAATAATAATAATATCTGAATCCTACCTACCAAAGGAGAAGAACCCTTTCTTCTTGGGCTTTTCCTCAACCATAACAGCCTTCATACTATCCTGCTCAACCAGCCTCCAAGCCGCTTGCTCAAAAGCCAACCCAGCCAATGTCGGCGGCCGGAGTAATGGCGGAGATGAATCCGGCGTCGATGCCGGCGGGGCAATCGATGATGACGAAGTCAGGGCAGCCTTCTTGGCGGGACTTGAGGGCATCGACGAGCCAGATTAGGGCTTTGCCACCGAAGCCGATGGGGAGTTTCGACCTAGGTTTTGAAATGCAAAGGAGCTCAAAATTGGACCAGTGCTTGTCCCTGATGAAGGCCTGGTCGAGGCAGCAGTCGCAGTTGAGGACCTCAACGACGGTGTAGTTAACGTGGTTCTCGAAGCCGAGGAGGAGGTCGAGGTTGCTGAGGCCGACATCGGCATCGATGGCCACGACGAAGAAGCCAAGGTGGGCGAGGGAGAGCCCGACATTCGCGGTGGTCGTCGTCTTGCCGACGCCGCCCGTGCCGGAGGTTATGACGACCACGCGAGGGGTTTCTCCAACCAGCTCCGGCTTCTTATTCCATTGGAGGACGGATCGTATGGCTAGAAGTTTTAGGGTAGGGAATCTTGGGGGTTTTGGGGGTGTAGAACTTGAAGTTGGTGGAAGGGAGGAATCAGAGAGATAACATTTTCTAGAGAGAGAAAGAGAGGAGAGAGAGAGAGTTTTAGAAGTTGAAGAGGAAAATATTCATTTTTTTGGGGAAGTCGGAGGAAGAGATAAGAGACCGGCAAACCGAGAAGCACACGGTGGAGAAACCAAACGAGCACTCGGTGTGCGAACAGAGAGAGAGACCGGTGAATGGACAGAGAGACCGGGATTACCCCGATCCTATAACTCCAACCATTCCTCTCCGTTCAAACCTCTCTCTTTTTTCTTTAAGGCTAGCGTTCTTGCTCTTACTTATCTAAACTAAACTAAGAGAATGTTCGGTAGAGGGATTCCTTCCCTGATTTGAATCATGATTCGTGGTTCGCTACAGTATTTTTTCTCACAAAAAATTTACATAAATCAAAAATGGTTCGAATCACATGGTTTGAATCCTCCAACCAAACGTAAAATTAATTTCTAAAAACTATGTCAAAAAGCTCATAATTACCTACAATATACAATGAAAATTTTAAATTTTAAATTTTTTCAAGCCAAATTTCAAGCGTTTTATTCCCAAACTTCCAATAATTTTTTTTAAGGGCCAAAATAAAGAGGACCCACCCAGTGGTGCAACTCCGGGTGGCGGGCACGCCCGGTGCCCGAAAATTTTAGGCACGGTGGGCAGGTGCCATTCGCTGCCCGTCTGAGTTATTTGGTCGGGCACGGGCTCGAGCAGCCCGAAAAAAATTCATTCTGGCTGTCCGCCGCCGGTGGAGAAGTCGACTTCGCCGCCTGCCGGATTTTTTTTTTAATTTTCCGGCGTGACCCGAATTTACCCGAATTTTGCCCTAATTTTTTTGACTGTTAGCCTGAATCTTGCCCGTTGTCCGAATATGCCTGAATTTTTTTTACCGTTAGCCCGAATTCTGAACCCAACAGATTTTTTTTACCCGACCCGACCGCCGCCAGATTTTTGCCCAAAAATTCAAACCCCAACGGCTATTTTTTTTTATTATCGTTGCCCGAATTTTGCCCGACCCGACCCGAGTGCCCGAATTCTACTAGCCGTTGGAACCACATTTTTGGGGAAACATTTTTTTTTTCAAGCCAAAAAATTTCCTATAAATACCCCCTCCCCCAACCATTTTCCTCACCCAAAGACTCTCATTCTCTCTCAATTTCTCTCAATCTCTCTCAAATCTCTCTTAATCTCTCTCAAATCTCTCTTAATCTCGCTTAAATCTCTCTTGATCTGTCTTAATCTCTCTCAAAGCGCTCTCAATCTCTCTTATTTTTCATAATGACTTCTTCTGGTTATGGTGGTGATATTCCCATTGATGCCCAATTCAACATCGAAGAAGTGCAATTTCCTAATATTTTTCAAACGCAGGAATTGTAAACTACAGAAATTGAGGAAACTGCAAATCCGAGCCCTGGTGGACGTACTAGAGGTCATGGACGTAATGGTGGTGGCACTGGTGGGCGTGGAGGATAGGCAAGCGGTAGTGCTAGTGCAAGTGTTGCAAGTGTTGGGAATAGTGTCCTAGAAGCATAAGATGTAATATGATATTTATTATTTAATTAATAAAAGAGTTTATTCATCATTTTATGTGCATATATTTATGAATATTTTATGAATATCAAATGAAAATTTTGTGATTATTTATGTAACCTTAAACATTATATATAAGTGTTATATACGAGAGGATAATGTTTAAGGATAATAATCAATAACGTTGTTCATAATGAATTTAATTAAAGTTCAGAATTTTTAATTAAAACATTATTAATACATGTCATTCCCATTTAGAATGGAACGGTGCTCTCCGCACTGTTAATATGGTGAGATATTGAATGAGTGTATTTCGCATAATGAGATTATGTGGAACAGGGACGCAGACACAATATGAATTTCTAATAATTTCCGTTAAGCATAGAAATTCTAATTGAGTCTACCGATGGTCATATATAGAATGATCTTAATCCTGAGTTCTTAACAAACTCCTATTTATGGATTT